CTCCTTTCCTTATTTATTAATATGGTCAATTCATCTAAACTCGAGTGTTTCTTCTAAACTGAAATTTTGTTATTTAGCATTTTTTTCGTTAAACTTAAGTTATCTTCACGTTTTTTCCCCCCTGCAGAGCGTCATATAAGAAATATCTTTTCATTTCTACTCCTCTTGTCTAGTTTTATTGTAAACTGATTTGAGTTTTCTTCATTCACGTGCACTTTTTTTCTGATTGATTTAGGGTTTTCTTCACGTATAGATTTCAAAAAAGTTTTATTTTGGGGTTCGAATTGTCCTTTATTTTTTCATTTTCCTTTAGATCTGCTCTCCATTGTTTCTTACTACAGCGTGATCGAGCTTACGAAAGCTAACTGTTTGCAATAATATTGGCCATTTGCTTGTAGACTAAAATGCCTTTTGAAAATATATTTCATTGCTTTTCGGAATTTAACTTCGTTAAAAGAAAAAGAAAATGTGTACTTTTTAAAGTTTCAGACATATATTGTAAATGTAAATATCTTTGGCAGCTTCCCAGTAGGTCAACAGTAAAGTTACAGACTAGCAATGCTAAAATCTGGGGCTCGATTCTCTGTGGTGAACATAGCGCAGATAACCCCATTGCGTAGCTTTACACTAAAACAAACGCATACATTTTACAACTTCTTTTTTACACCCGCTAAGCCTAAACTTCTTAAATTTTCCGGACTTAAGACGAATATATTTATATCTATGTTAGATTTATATGCGTGTAAGGAATCTAGTTGTACAAATAATTGTGTTATTATTTGTTTTGCTTTTAAAACCTTTAACTGTAAATATAATTGTAATAACTCTATGGTCCATATACAAGGAAAATTTAGCAGTGTAACTGTAATACACGTATAAGGAAAGCTTAGCATAAGATGTAATTGTGAAACTGTAATTCATCTACTAGGGGATGTAATTGTGTAACTCTGTGTTTAGTGTATAAAAGCCAAGCTACTGATGTAACTGTGTAACACTTTTTTCGTGTATAAGAAAAGTCCAACTGGAGATGTAACTGTGTAATTCTGTGTTTTGTGTCAAAAAAGTTCTTCTGTAATTTGTTCATAAAGGAAACCTATCTTTAAATGTAACTATTTGTTTTGTGTAAAAGAAATGTTTAGTTATTGATTCAACAGCATAACTCTGTGACTTTATATAGAGCTGTGTTTGTTCAAGTATACTGTAGTTAGTGATGTAACTATGTGTATCGTGTACAAGGAAAACCAAGCTGTAGATGTGACAGTGTAACCCTGTGACTTGCTTATAAGGAAAACCAAGCTCTAGATGTGACAGTGTAACCTCGTGACTTGCTTATAAGGAAAACCAAGCTGTAGATGTAACTGTGTAACTTTCTTGTAAGGAAACACTACCTGTAGATGTAGCAGTGTAACTTTATGACTTGTTTATAACGAAATCCTAGCTATAGATGTAACAGTGCAACTCTGTGAATTGTTTATAACGAAATCCTAGCCGTAGATGTAACAGTGTAACTCCATGACTTGTTTATAAGGAAAACCAAGCTGTAAGTGTAACAGTGTAACTCTACGACTTGTTTATACGGAAAATTAATATGTAGATGTAACAGTGTAACCCTGTAGCTTGCTTATAAGGAAATCCAAGCTGTAGATGTAACAGTGTAACCTCATGACTTGCTTATAAGGAAAACCAAGCTGTAGATGTAACAGTGTAACTTTCTTGTAAGGAAACACTACCTGTAGATGTAGCAGTGTAACTTTATGACTTGTTATAACGAAATCCTAGCTATAGATGTAACAGTGCAACTCTGTGAATTGTTTATAACGAAATCCTAGCCGTAGATGTAACAGTGTAACTCCATGACTTGTTTATAAGGAAAACCAAGCTGTAATTGTAAGAGTGTAACTCTACGACTTGTTTATACGAAAAATTAAGATGTAGATGTAACAGTGTAACCCTGTAGCTTGCTTATAAGGAAATCCAAGCTGTAGATGTAACAGTGTAACCTCGTGACTTGCTTATAAGGAAAACCAAGCTCTAGATGTAACTCTGTAACTTTCTTGTAAGGAAACACTACCTGTAGATGTAGCAGTGTAACTTTATGACTTGTTTATAAGGAAAACCAAGCTGTAGGTGTGACCGTGTAACTCTATGACTTGTTTATACGGAAAATTAAAATGTAGATGTAACAGTGTAACCCTGTAGCTTCCTTATAAGGAAATCCAAGCTGTAGATGTAACAGTGTAACCTCATGACTTGTTTATAAGGAAAACTAAGGTGTAGATGTAACAGTGTAACCCTTTAACTTGTTTATAAGGAAACACTACCTGTAGATGTAGCAGTGTAACCCAGTGGCTTGCTTATAAGGAAAAACTAGCTGTAGATGTAACAGTGTAAGCCTGTGATTTGTTTATAAGGAAATCCTAGCTTGAAGCTCTGTCTTTAGTGTGGTTAAAATATTCATATGTTGGTTTTCTTCGCCGATGAGTTTAGAAAGCTGTGTAGGTAACATGATAACTTCGGTGTGAATATAAAGATATTTAGAATGACACAACTAAAATAGAAAGTTATTTTCTTTTACTGCCAATTGTGTCTTTGTCTAGACGTCTACATGTTAAATCTACGTAACCCGTCAACCAAAAGTTCTGACAATTTCACATGCTTGGCAATTTATGAAATACTTTACTAAGTGATTTGTTTCTCTAAAATTGATTCTCAAACCCAAAATATTTCTCGATTCACAAAATAACATGAAAACGTTTACGCTAGTAATACTTAATGAATGATCTTACCTAAACATTTTCCTATCGTTCTTCCGCCATTCCTATCGACTCCCCCCCTCTCTTTCTTCCCGTTTTAAGCTCCACAAATCTTCCCCCTCTCTTCTTGCGCTTCTCCGTCGATTTCAGCAACCATTCACAGGACCGTGCGTCATTTTAACGATCTGATTATAGGCAGACAAGGCGCCCCTGACCGGCGTATGTGTGTATAAATTATGATTATTAGTAAAACCACCATTCCCTAGTAAACATATTGATAAACATTTGGCTTACATGCAAATATGTCACCAATATTCATATTTAATAGATCACAGAATAAATCTCCACAGTTCACATCATTGTAATTCACTATAGTTAACTTAGTAGAACTTGCAACACTTGTGGCTGATTTTTTCGGTTAAGCCGGGTGTTTTTGTTGTTGTTTTTTTTCTCTTATGTAAATCTATTTTTTATAAGTGTTATTAAAAGCAGAACATGTATATACCATGTAAAGATGTAAGATGGATGTTCGTGTATTGTTTATCTATATGAATGGAGAACGTTCGGTAAGCTCGAAGAAGGAGTTTCAGTAGGGTCCTGATCGATCCTTTCTCCCTCCTGTTGGGTTTTGACCCACGTCGTTCGAAAGACTCAACTCGAGTAACCTCAGGAACCATTCAGTGTCAGACCTAGCTATACAAACAGAAGGCGAAATCAGGATTAGCTCTAGAAAAAGGATCAAATTCGAGGATTTGTTGTCAGGTAGAATAATATCGAATTATTATTATTAACGCAAAATATTTCAGTTTTATTTCCTGCACTCAGGTTGAGGAAGTAACGTAAAGTTAATCTCTCTCTCTGCTGTTTCTAGGTGAATAGTGTAATATCAAAAAGAAAATTTTCAACTACACCGTCGTGTATATATACATAACCTATTTTATACTTAGTACATTTCCTGGCATATTTCCATTCTTCACAAGGTCAACACGTTATTTCTAACACATATTTAAATGATATATATGAACAGTTATAGACTATCGCTTCAATATTGTTATAAAACAAATAAGCTACAGATGCTGTTTTTGTCACATTCCTTTTAAATTGTCCACTGCGGCTCGAAATCGAAAGAGTAATTTCCAGTGACAATAAATAAATTAAAAGTAATGTGTGAAAATTTCATGTGTGAAAAATATCATCTGCAGTTAACTTGTTTTTGATAACAATCTTCAGACCTGTTGATTTTCGCCGGCTTTAAGCGTAAGTTTAGCTTCAACAGTTTGCAATCAATAAAAGAAATGTCAACACGTTACTAAAAGTGTCATATTATACAACTGTAAGCTCAAAGTCAAAACTTACGATTCACGGTGTCCATGTTTTGTGACCGCGCACCAGATCCACTTGGCAGCAGGCAGTGTGACCTGAAATTACATATGAACTTGATAACCTACATAAGATGTTAAAAAGGAATAAAAGATCTCTCAGGTCAACTCCTATGTACAAGTAAGCCAGCTTTTTTAAACTGGTTCATTTTTATCTATTTTTTAAGTACGAGTTTTCAAAATGGCAACATTATTAACTTGCGACAACTACTCCTATCCAGGACGGATCTCTACTGAAAGTTTGACTTTACGATGAAAGATTCCAATGAAATATTATTCTAAACTATCTTCAAAAAAAAAGTATCATCGATAATCATTAATACTTATTAAACCTTTTTTTATCAGGGTACCCCAGTGGCTCAGCGGTAGGTTTACAGCTTACACTAAAAAATCGGGTTTCAATACTCGTAATGGTTAGAGCACAGATAACCCATTGTGTAACTTTACACTTAACAACAACCAAGCCAACCATCCTCGTGACGATTGGTGTGTAAAGTAACCAGTTGTTGCATCGCCCTTTAGACGTGATTTTCTCAATATTCTCAGATATGTATGCATATATTTTATACGTATTAATAAGTGCGTCTTACATAAATTATGGAATAAGACAACCGTATAGGATTCTTTTTTTTTAACCTTAGACCTAAAATTTAGTTCTACAAACGCGGAGGAGCGGTTATTCTATATTTGTGCATAGCAGTTTCTATTTCTCTTCAGCTATAAATAACTTAAAAATTATTCTAGTTAGTGAATTTCTCAAATGTAAATTCAATACGAAAGTACTAATTGACCAGTTGCAACAAACAAAAACTCTAACATTTTGTCTGCGACAGAGCGATAAGCTTAAACAGTATGGTAACTCACTCTTAAATATTTCAAGTGGAATATAACAATGAACTAGTTTTCATTCTGTTGTATTACATTTCACTCAAGTCACATTTACTAACAGTCAGTTTTTAATTCAAGTTTTGCTTACTCTTACTTAAGTTTCACTCAAGTCATGTTTGCTAACAGTCACGTTTTCCATCGTAATGTTCTTTATAATCAATTTTTCACTCAAGTTTCACTTACTCCCAATCTGTTTTCTCTGAAGCCACATTTACTAACAGTCAGTTTTTAATTCAAGTTTTGCTTACTCTTATTTAAGTTTCACTCAAGTCACATTTACTAACAGTCAGGTTTTCCATCGTAATGTTCTTTATAGTCAATTTTTCAATCAAGTTTCACTTACTCCCAATCTGTTTTCTCTGAAGCCACATTTACTAAAAGTCAGTTTTTCACTCAAGTTTCGTTTACTCCCAATCTGTTTTCACTTAAGTCTCTAAAATAATAACGAAAATACTAAATACTACAATTCTTTCTTAGTCCAACTGGAAACAAGTAATGGATTTTTTTTATCCAATAATATACTTCAGAAGATCAAACCGTGTAGTTTTGTAGATTATTAATTAACATATAAGATTAGTCTTAGTTTAGTAAGTTATTTAAATCAAAGTAACATATAAATATTTATTTGTATAAACATTTCCCCATGGATATCTATTGGTTAGCTGTTAGGGTTTTATAAGCCTGCTAACAAAAGTCTCACGTGTTGTAATGTACATTGTTCGTCTAACATGTATGAATTGACTACAGTAGTTTGGCAACATTATTTGTTCAAGACAAACGTAAATGTAAATAGATACAGGCATGTGTTTGTGTGTGTGTATTTCTCTAGGAGGGATGGGGAGGGGTGCAGCTGCATAATTAACAAATAAATACCGTATTTGTATTCTAAAAGACACGTTCGTCTGTATCTATGTATATGTGATGTAAGTTAGATTAACATATCTTTGTGTATAGTTTTTGAAGTCAGTATGCTACTCCTTCAGCACGCGTACAAAACGAAACACAGAGGACACAGGCAGCTACTTTAAATTTACAGATGATTCTCGAAAGTTTATTTTTGGGTAAATCCCAGCATGCATCTGGTGTCTAAGAGCTTGTCATCACTTAAGAAACATTCAGCTGAAATGAAGATTATGTTACTTAACTTCAAAATTGTATTATTCATCTGTAAGTAAATGATTTGTTGGGGAGTAGCCTTATGTAACGAAATACATGTATATAGATCTATCTACATTCTTATAGTGACAAATGACATCTAATAAAACAATTGTGTAATACCTAATACATATATATAGATCTATCTACATTCTTATAGTGACAAATCACATCTAATAAAACAATTGTGTAATACCTAATACATATCTACATTCTTATAGTGACAAATCACATCTAATAAAACAATTGTGTAATACCTAATACATATATATATATGTAGATTCTTATAGTGACAAATCACGTATTAGGTATTACACAATTGTTTTATTAGATTGTAGATATATATATTTCTTATAGTGACAAATCACAATTGTTTTATTAGATGTATAATAACTAATACATATGTATCTACATTCTTATAGTGACAAATCACATATAATAAAACAATTGTATAATAACTAATACATATATATATATCAACATTCTTATAGGGACAAATCACATCTAATAAAACAATTGTGTAATACCTAATACATATCTACATTCTTATAGTGACAAATCACATCTAATAAAACAATTGTGTAATACCTAATACATATATATATCAACATTCTTATAGTGACAAATCACATCTAATAAAACAATTGTATAATAACTAACACATATATATCTACTCTTATAGTAACTAATACATATATATATATATCCACTCGTATAGTGGTTAATATATCTATATATAACCACTACTTCACAGAAAATAGAACACATACAAAGACAAAAACTGGAAGATTACTTAAATGATCATAGTGAAAACTAACGATGCTTGCACGATCTTTCTGTAGAATCACATCTGAATATCTGAGTTTTGATCAGATTCTGCTGCTTTAGTAATAATGCTGAAGATGTTCGCCTCAGTTTTTTATGATAAAACATATTAACGAATTATCTTTTAATTTAACAGTATGTTCTATGCTTATCAATTTCAAACAAACCTTTACAGAAATACTAGACTCGTACATTTGTAACGTGATATTAAGTTGTTGCGTTGTCGTTTTTTGTGTAGTGTTTATTTTCATTGCAGTGAAAAGTTTTTTTAAAAAAAAGTTTGTTTGTTTATTTTAGAGCAAAGCCGCATTGGGCTATCTGCTATGTTCACTGCGGGGAATCGAACTCTATAGTTTAGAGTTGTAAGTTCGTGAACTTACTGCTGTCCAACTTTAGGACTTTCTAAAACGAGTGTCATATTTTGTGGGCACGCTGATGGTGTTTTTCATAGTACCTGTTAACTTCATAGCATCAGTCAAAGGAGTTGACCTTGGAGTTTGTAGATCTGTAACGGTACGAACCGAACTTCTAGCTTGACACCTTGATGACTTATTGATTAATTGTAATCATAAATTGACTTAGGTAATTTTTAAGCATTACAGCTTATCCGCCCTTTTAGCCCCCCCTCCCCGCGGCTCTGGAGAGTTACAATGCTAAAAATCTGTTTTCGACATCCGTGATGGGCAGAGCATAGATAGCCCATTACTTAATCCCCCCCCCCAGTAGCTCAGCGGTAAGTTGGAAAGCTTATAACGCTTAAAACCGTAAAAACCGAGTTTCGATACCTATGTTGGGCACAGCAAAGATGACCCATTTCGTAGCTTTGTACTTTAAAAAAAACATGCAAACACTGCCGCCTTTTTAACAGGAAGAAAACGAAAAAAAAATGAGTATAAAGAAACAGATACTTTGTCTATTTATTTCATTAGTATAAATTATAATCGAGAACGTGTTCTATTTGAATGAAGCATCAGAAGTTATCACAAGGCTTACTTGGTGTCAAAGAATTAGTTCACTATAACATAATGTATATAGTAAGTAATTATGACAGCTCGACAAAACACCATCTTAAAGTTAAGTGATCTTCCGATGTACTTACTGTGTGAACAGTTACAAGCCTGCCTTTAACATAAGTAGCTGAACAGGTAATTGAAATAACAAATGACAATCTCTTACTACATCTTGTTCAGATGAAGCAAAACAGCAAAAAGAAAAGAAGAAAGAGGGAGATGTTTAGAAAAAGAGCTCGTTGCATTTAACATCTTGCTTCACGTGAATAATAACACAATATTTATGACAATTAGACCACAACACTGTGTAAAAACATGTGACTGTTGTACAACAGTAGCGAACTTAGAAAATAACATCTAGCTACATTATATAAAAATACGTGACTGTTGTACAACAGTAGAAAAACTAGAAAATAACACCTAGCTACATTATATAAAAATACGTGACTGTTGTACAACAGTAAAAAAACTAGAAAATAACACCTAGCTACACTATCTAAAAATGCGTGACTGTTGTACAACAAAAAAAAAACTAGAAAATAACACCTAGCTACACTATCTAAAAATACGTGACTGTTGTACAACAGTAAAAAAACTAGAAAATAACACCTAGCTACACTATCCAAAAATGCGTGACTGTTGTACAACAGTAAAAAACAACAACTAGAAAATAACACCTAGCCACACTATCTAAAGTTATGTGAGCGTTGTACAACTGTAGCGACCTTGTAAAGTAACACCTAGCCACATTATCTAACATTATGTGAGCGTTGTACAACAGTAGCGACCCTAGAAAATAAGAACCAGTTATACTAACTAAAAATAAATGAACTTTGTACAACAGCAGTGAACCTAGAAAATAACACCTAGTTACACTATCTAAAAATAAATGAACGTTGTAAAACAGTAGAGAATTTACAAAAAACAATAAAAACACACCTAACTACGCTATCACAGAAAGAAACCAAAAACACTACAGTGACCTTTTTAGTAGCAAACAACTAACAACAATATTTAAAAAGCCTAGATGACTTTGGTACCATATTATTCAGTCAGGTAACAATAGTGTTCAGAAAGCTAGATTATTGTTGTTGTGCCGCAGTAATACGTCTAGTTACAAACAAATAACAATGATATTCAAAAAGGTTAAGTTATCGTCAT